CCTTCACACACACACCCAGCATTTTCTCATCTCTGGCCCTACACTCCAGAGTTCTCCACAGTGGCAGCTTCAGCACAGCCAGGATATGCCTTTGAATTTCAGGATATGCCAGAAACCAACAATATTTGACCTCAGCCCCCTCCCTGAGGCCTCCAGCCCCAGCCAACCTGCCCAGGTGTTTCAGCCAAACCACACATCTTCACTCCCTTTAGGAGAAAATATCCCTAGACACCTGGCTCAGCCAGGTGCTGGTGTTCTGGATTTTTGCAAAGAACCCATGCCCTGGACAGCCTCACACAGTGGTCAGTGTCAAGAGCCCTTGATCACCTCAGATCCCACCTCCTGTGGCATTTGGGATTCCCCGATCCAGGGCCAGCCAGCACTAGTCCCTGTGGAGGTGGAGGCAGGGCAGGTAGCAAGGCAGGCCCAGCCTGACCCCTTCCACCACCTGTGGTCGACCATGGCCAACCTGTGCCCTCCATGGGCAGGGCCAGCCAGTGACATTCCTCCTAACTTGTGCTGGGGTTTGCCCCCATCTGTGCAGGGAGAAGCGGGTAACCCAAAGGATACAGCTGGGAGTCAAGAGCACCCACCCCACACCCTGGTGGTGAGCAAGCTCTCGGGGAGCTCTGCCTGCCCTTCCCAGGAGCTCCTGCATATACCCTTGGCTATGCAGGACTCTTACAGCATGGACCCCTGCCCAGCTGCCAAGCAACAGCAGTGGGTACAAATGGGGCTGCAGACCCAGGAAGCTTGCGGGCCAGTGAGAGAAGGGTTGCCAAGTGCCCAGCCCTTGGGTGGCTGCCCAAGAGATGCCATCCCCCAGGCCCTGAAGCCAAGCCCCTTCCTGTCCTCCAAGAATAGCTCCCTAGGCATAGGCAGCAGCCAAGGCAAGAGCCCAGCTGAAGCCACAAGGCACAGCAAGGACAAACTGGTCATTGCAGCCCCAGGGGCTGTGGGCAGACCCCAGGTGCAGTCTAGCCTGACCCTGCCTCCCTGCCCTCCTGACTCTGCCTGGCCACCTGCATCTATGCAGGGCAGCCGTGATGTCCAGCTCCAGGTAAGTGTTAGCAAGCAGGACCATGGGGATTTGTGGGTAGCAGGGAGGGGCACTCTATCTCACTGGTCAAGTGCAGAGCTCCTAGCAAATCTGGATGTGAAGGGGCATCTGCCCAGCTGGCCAGTATAGGAGGGGTATCCCACCAGCCCAGCTGGTCCTAAGCACAGCATTATTGTGAAGCTACAGTGCAGGGATATGTGGAGGGATTCTTCAAATGTAGCAGGTCACTGTCAGTGTTGGTCTACTGAGGCTAGTAATGGTGGCAGGAGCGGCTTTACCCCTGGGAATAGTGTGGTTATGACCTGGTGGGCCCTCCAGCTGCAGTCTTCTGGGCATCACTAAGCCACCTGGACACCTACTTTTAATGTAATTTAGCCCAGCTTTGGACACCCAGAGTTGGATTGGTTGTATTTTGAATTTGACACCCTCTTCTTCTGTGCTCCCCCCGGTACCATTTCCAACACCAATAAGCAGGTTAGTGCTGAAACATTGCTCACTGCCTGGTGCTGGCAGGGAATGAGGACACACATACAGATCCTGCAAATAATCGTAATGCACACCCTCAAATGCAGCTTCGCATAGAAGTCACACCAGCAGCGTTGTGACCCCTCCCATTTCACACAGAGGAGCAGATGTGCCTTTCCGGTGACATAGGGCTGCCCTCAGGGCGCAGCTGGAATGTGGTTTCCCTGAACCCCAGGCAGCCCGATATAGCTTCACTGGGAGCTCCCCTTCACTTCTCTGGATTTTCTGCCCCCTTCTCATGTCACACTGCCACCTCTCATTTCTGGCATCCTTGGGGTCCCTCAGCTCATACCCCCTTTCCAATTTTTTATTTTCCACCTGTTGTAAGTTAGAAAATCAGAAGACCGAATTTGTTAGACTTCTATCTGAAACCAAAGTAATTCCTAATTAAAGCCTCAAACTTACATCTTTTATAAACAAGTATGATTTTAGAGTCCTTGGGTTAACCCTTGTCTTCTGTAATTTTGTTCTAACTGCTCTAAATGTTTCCCATTTTCCCATCAGCAGTGTGACCAAAACAAAGTGCACAGCACCATAGCACTTGGGATTCCAGGCCCAAAAGGAAGCACATTTTCCTCCAAATTCTGACTTAGAAAGACCGTATTGTGCTTTTTGCCCGTCTGTGGACATGTTCTGGAGTCTTAACTACTGACATTTTCCCTGAAATTGAAGTATCTTAAATTTTTCATATTGCTGGGTGAATATTTAACTTTTTTCTGTGTGTATAAATACACACTTATCTGAAATCTTATTCTCTGGATCCCAAAGATGTGTGTGTGTGTGTGTTTTACTTCATTTCATTCTGTGTACTTTATACTCAAGACACATATGGAATTCTCATCTTTGTTTAAAAAGTAACTTTTGAATCACAAAAATGTTAATAGGAAAGGGACACTATGGACATGTTCCAACATTTGCCTTCATAATGACACTTCCAAGCTCAGAGCTGAAGCCAGCATCAGACAACCTGTTTGCAATCAGGGCCATCCAGACACATGGTTCTTACAGCACGGTAACATGCTGACAGCCACACATGGGGAAGGGATATGTGCCCTTTGGCCTAGACCCCTGGAGAGGGCTTGGCCTTCACCCAGTATCTTGGACACAGGAGAAGTGGGTCCTCTGTGGAGCCCATGTGCAGGAGGAATGGTGTTCTGCCCTAGAGGATGGCATGGGAACATGGCAGATGGAAGATCTAGACAGTGGTACACCTTTGAAGCACAGGGTGCATGCATCTCAGTCTCCCAACAGAGCAAAAGGAAAAAGGTTGGCGGCCACTGCTTCTCCTTCCATAAAGGACTCAGAATGGTTGAGGGTTACAGTAGCACTTCCACTGACTTCTGTGGCTTCCACCACAGGACTCGTTGTTCGGGAGCTAAATGGGCCAGATGTCATCAAGTATGACCACCATTGGACCTGCTCACCAGTGTCACCCAGAACCAGGCACATAGTAGGTGCTTAATGAATGTCCATTGTATGTATGCATGAGTGAAAGCACAGGTGAAGAAACCACAGCACAGGAACACAGAGGCCCGGGAACCAGCCCAGTCAGAACCCAACAGAAGGACCCCTCTGATGCCACCAGGTCCACCAGCAGTTACCAGAAACCGTGTGACCTGCACAGGATAAGCCACCATGTTCATTTTCCACAGCATCAGATCGGGTGATGGTTGATGTTGTTTCATGTATGGAATGTCTGCCATTTTGGACCCTTGGACCTAAAACACTGAAGCATCAACTAAGACCCTGCAGCCTGACAAATGGGAGAAAACACACACAGAAGTGTTCACCAGTACTCATAAACCCTTCCACCTGCTCTCTCAAACCAAAAATTACAGCCTCTCATCATGGGGAAAGGGGAAATTCTCTAACCTCATTTAGAATCTGTACATGGCAGTATGTCTTAACAAACCATGGTCTATTTGGAGTACTTTTTATGTTTTTCTGTCCAAAGTAAACAGTTTAATCACAAAACAGTGCATGTTCTTGGACACTCTGAGGCCTGCCTTGATGTGAAGAGTTGTCCTTCCATGGTATTTTCAACTGGGTCACAAGTTTTTTAAAACTACTTAAAATGTTCCGTGTGGGGGCGCCTGGGTGGCTCAGTTGGTTGAGCGACTGCCTTCGGCTCAGGTCATGATCCTGGAGTCCCGGGATCGAGTCCCGCATCGGGCTCCCTGCTCGGCGGGGAGTCTGCTTCTCCCTCTCCCGCTCCCCCGTCTCGTGCTCACTCTCTCTCTTTCTCAAATAAATAAATAAAATCTTTAAAAAAAAAAAATGTTCCATGTGAAATGCAGACTCATTACATGTGTAACAATCTGTACATTCCATTTCTCTGTGTTGTTTATTTACTACCATGGACTATAATGAAACACTGGCAGTCAATGCACAGCTCACAAGAATATGTCTGGTGTTTCATTCATATGTGGAGTAGCAAATTACCACAAAACATAGGCTATTAAAACAACAATCATCTCTTTGCTTATTATTCTGCAATATGGTGGGCTCCACTGGATGGTTCTGCTGTGGGTCTCGCCTGCATCGTTCATGTGGCTGTGGTCATCTGGCAGCTCAGCAGGGGCTCACTCACATGTCTGGCAGCTTGCTGGGTGTCAGCCAGGCTCCTTGGTTCCCTCCCTTCCCAAGACACCAGGATTTCCTGGCTGCAGCATGCTCCAAGAAGTCAAGCCCCCGTGTCCAAGTGCTTATCAAGCCTCTGCCAGGGCAGGTGATCAAGCCAAGTCACATGGCCAAGGCCAGAATCAAAATGGAGGGTAATCAGGAATGTAACACTGGGAGGGAGGCTTCATTGACACCAACAAACAGCTGTCCCCTCCCGCAACACTCTTGGGAGCAGTAATCTCCGGGTAACAGGTGAGGGGCAT